TGTTAATGTAGTGGGTTTGGAGTTTAATTGCTTGGGCCCTTTTAGGATTATTAATATTTGTTGGGCCATTTTTGTTTTGGGCCATTGGATTGAACTTATTTGGGTTGGATTTAATTGGGCCCAAAATGATTTAGTTTGGGCTGACCTAAGGCTTTTGGGCCTTTTTGTTTTTTCAATTGGAGTTGTGGGCCCTCTTAGTTTATGTTATAAATTTTAATTTTCAAAAAAAAAAAAAAACGCCCAAATGCGGCTGCCACACCGGTTCTTTCCCCATCTTCTTTTTCCTCAAAATTTTCATTTTTTTCTCTTCTTATGCTATTTCCAACCCTCCACTTCATTTTTCAGTTACTACAGTAAAAATGCAGCTGATCTACAGTAATTTTACTTTAACCATAAACTTCAATTTTTACTCTAAAAAATATATTCCCTATATATTTCTTTTTTATATTATGTTATATAATTTTTCATATTTATAAATTACACTCCAACTTTAATTTATTTTTACATTATATCCATTCACATATAATTTATATTTTAGTTAAAAATTATATATATAAAAATTAATATTTATAATTAATAACTATTACAAATAAAATAATTTTAAATAAATAATTAAATGCTATCAAGACAAATATGATATAATAATTAAACAAAGATAACATAATATTATTATTTCATAACAATTTATTACAAAAACATACATTATTATTTTTCAAAAAAAATAAAATTATATATTACTTTCCAAAATTAAAATTATATCACTTTTAAAAAATAAAATTATACATTATTTTTCAAAAAAATAAAATTACATACAATTTTTTAAAATATAAAATTATATATCATCTACTAAAAAATTAAAATTACACAATACACCAAAACAATACCAAAAATATTAAAAACACCACAAAAACTGCACTCCAAAAATGGAATGGAGTACTTAAAAAATAGAGCAACACTGTGCAAAAATGGGGGGATTTTGGGGGTGGGTTGAAGCCCATCCCCCCTTTTTTGTATAACCCACTGCATTTTAACCCTACTCTTTCCCTCTCCCCAAATTCAAAAAAATTTCTTTCCCCTAAAATTTTTTCTTCTCCTCCCACTCCTCCTACTTCATCTTCTTTGCAAATCTTTCGCCTCCTTCTTCTCCGGCCACGGCGGCGAGACAATGACGGCTGTGATGACGACAACACGGCGACAGTGACTGCAGACCTGTGGACCCTTCTTCTCCTTCTTTTCTGGCGACGAGGGCGACGATTGTGGTGGGCCGACGGACCCTTCGCCTTGAAGAATTACATAGCAAAAAGGAAGAAGCACAGAGAAGAACAGAATACTCAGATGAAGCAGTAAGGTAAAATTTTGTATATCACAACCATTAATTGATACACAGATTATATATACAATTGATTCTGACAGATTCCTAACAAACTCTGTGTAAAATTGTAGTGGTAGCAGAGATTACATGAGAGAGAATAACAGAACGATGATTCCAGACAATTCTATGGGCTGGACCGTGATTGAATTGGATGATCAAATTATTAGTCCATCAAGGTGGAGCCCAATCAGTTACATATCCATCTTCTTCTTCTTTCACTCCCCCCTCAAGAGGAACTTGGATTGAGGAGCCCAAGTTCATCTTGACACGAAACTTTTGAAGAGTTGCAGAAGACAAAGGTTTAGTGAAGGCGTCAGCTAGTTGATGGTAAGAAGGCACAAATGTAGGTGCGATGAGTCCAGATTGGAAGTGACTCCGAACAAAGTGACAGTCTATATCAATGTTTTTGATTTTCTCGTGATGCACTGGATTGTGAACCATATGAATGGTGGATTGATTGTCACAGTAAAGTGGTATGGGCAGGGACACCTGAATGAGAAAATCCCTGAGGAGATAGGTGAGCCAAAGTAGTTCAGACACAGTAGAAGCTAATGCACGATATTCGGCTTCAGCGGAGGATTTAGAGACTATGGGTTGCTTTTTTTTCTTCCAAGAAATAAGACAAGAGCCCAGATATATGCAGTAACCAGTGAGAGATTTTCTGGTGTCTAAGCAACATCCCCAGTCAGCATCCGAGTAGACAACCAAATTGAGATCCCCAGTAGAAGGAAAAAGAAGTTCAAGATGCTTGGTACCTTTGAGATATTTGAGAATCCTTTGCACAGCCTTCCAATGTAAGGATGTCGGGGATGCCATGAATTGAGAGAGTTGTTGCACAGCATAGCAAATGTCTGGCCTAGTCATTGTGAGATAGAGCAAGCGACCAACAATGCGTCTGTAGTTTTTTGGATTTGGTAGAGGATCACCCTTATCATGCTGTAATTTGCATCCAGTAGCGAAAGGTGTGGCACAAGGAGTGGTATCACGAAGACCGGCTTCATCAAGGATGTCGTCAGTGAACCTCTGTTGAGAGACACTGATTCCAGCAGGTGTGTTTGTGATCTGGATACCAAGGAACAGATCAGCCTCTCCAAGATTTTTAATAGTAAACTTCTGATGAAGGAATTCCTTGACTGCTATGATTTCCACAAAGTCAGTGCCGGTGAGAAGAATGTCATCAACATACACCAACAAAGCAATAAAGTAGTGACCACGAGATAGAGTGAACAAACAATGATCGAATGTGGATTGTTGAAAGCCATACTCAACAATCTTAGCAGCAAATTGCTTGTACCATTGCTTAGGAGCTTGCTTGAGTCCGTAGAGGGATTTGTTCAACTTACATACTTTCCCTGGAGATATGACTTCCTTGAGGTGGTGTCATATAAACTTCTTCTTTAAGGTAGCCATGCAAGAATGCATTGTTCACGTCAAGTTGGTGAACTTTCCAATGCTTGGTGGAAGCTATTGCCAAGAATATCCTCACTGTCACACTTTTAGCAACCGGTGCAAATGATTCTTTATAATCTTTCCCTAGAATCTGTAAGTATCCTTTGGCGACAAGTCGAGCTTTTAAGTTTTGTACTTCTCCATCAGCATTTCTCTTAATTCTATACACCCATTTACAGGAGATTGGTCTTGCTCCTTTGGGCAATGTAATGACTTCCCATGTATTGTTCCTGTGTAAAGCTTCAAGTTCTTCCTCCATAGCGGCTCTCCAGCCAGCATCTTTGTGAGCCTGCACAAATGATATTGGTTCCTGCATATCAACAGTAAAGGCACCATGCCACATACATAAAGATGATGAGTTAGAGCTGGAAGGCATGATGGCAAGGGGGCTGATATAATCTGTCATCCAGGTTGGTTTCTGATTTGTCTTTTGGGTTTAGCTGGAGTGGATGGGAAAGAATTAGAGGCTGGATCATGTAGGACTTCTTGGGTTGGTTGAGTCAATGTAGGAGTAGATATGGGGTTGTTGGTTGTGGAATCAGGGAAGGAGGATGGTGTGTTTGGGTAGATGGGTGATGAAGATGATGTAACTGGTGGCAGTTCTTGAGGTTCTGTGTTTTGGCTGGTAGTTGGATTTGGTGTTGGTTGTAGAGTGGGAGTGCCTAAAGGGTAACTAAAGGGAAGTTTATTTGGATATATAAGATCAGTGTTTGGCTGAGGAACTGCAAGATTAACAAAAGATTGGTAAGGAAACTCATTTTCATAGAAAACAACGTCTCTAGCAGTAAGACACCTTTTGCTTTCTATATCATAGAGCTTAAAACCCTTTTGGCCAACTGGGAAACCAAGAAACAAACACTTGTAGACTCTTGGGTCAAGTTTGGTTCTAGTAGGTTTATTATTGACAGCATAACACAAGCATCCAAATACTCTTAGATTGGATAGATCAGGCTTTGTAATATAAAGTTTTTCATAAGGGGTAGACCAACCAAGAACAGAAGATGGCAGTCTGTTAAGAATATAAGTAGCATGTAGGAGGGCTTCGCCCCAAAATCTTGATGGCAAGTTTGCTTGAAATAGCAAGGCTCTGGTTAATTGAAGAAGGTGTTTGTGTTTTATTTCAGCTCTACCATTCTGTTGTGGGCTGTAAGGGCAGGAATGATGATGCACGATACTAAATCTTTGATATATCATTTTGCAGTGCTGGTTTAGAAATTCAGAACCATTATCAGTCCTGATTCTTTTGATGGTGTGATTGAAATGAGTTTGGACATAGAGGATAAAGGTTTCAATAATTTGAAAAACATTTTGCTTGTTTTGGTATGAGGTATGTCCAAGTAGCTCTTGAGTGGTCATCCACAATGGTTAAGAAATAGTGACATCCACTCATGGTGGGTGTTATGTAAGGTCCCCATAAGTCCATATGCACAAGTTCAAAATTACATGTAGCATAAAAGATACTTTTATTAAAGGGCAACCTAGCTTGTTTAGCCTTGTGACAAATGTCGCATGGTTTACATTTAAAAACAATGGACATAGGTAAGTGCTTAAGAGTATCATCTGAGGCATGTCCAAACCTTCTACGCCAAAGTAGAGATTCTTTTGTTGAGGTAAGGGCAGAGGTAAAGTGATTGGTAGGGAAGAATTTTTTGGTTAAAATGTAAAGGTTGTTTTCTTGTTTCCCAATGGCCAAAACTTGGTTAGAGCTCAGGTGCTGAATTTCACAGATGTCAGACAAAAAGGTGAGTTTGCAGACAAATTGTTTAAGTAAAGCACTTACAGATAAAAGATTGTATTTAAAGGCAGGAAGGTAATATACTTCTTTTAATATGATATGAGAACTTAGCTTTACTGTTCCTGCATAAGAAACAGTAAGAAATGATCCATTGGGAAGAAAGATTTTGGGCTTTGAGGTTAAAGGCTTTAAGGTTTCAAACAACTCATCATTTATGCATATATGGCAAGTAGCTCCACTATCAATTAACCAAGAATCACTATCCAAATATGCAGAGTCAAAAGAGAGAGTATTACCCGAGAACTCAATAACCGAGTTGGTGCAAGCAATTGGTGAAACTGGGGATTTGCTCATCAGCAGCTTCTGGACTTCAACTTTCACCAAGGCAGTAATATCTGGACAACTTTTGAAGACCATATCAGGTTTTGAACTAACTCATTTCATTTATGAGACTGAGTTGGCAAAGTCATTTCTCTTGTCAACCATTTCTTTGTACCAAGGAGGTATTCCATTTAGCTTGAAGCAAGTCTCCTTAGTGTGTCCTTTCTTTTTGCAATATTCACAAATGGAGTTTTTCTTTTCTATCTGCAATCTTTTCTTATCAATAAACCTCTTATTTTGCATTTTTTTGTTTTCTACTAGGAATGCATTATGCTCTGCAGCAATATGAATCTCTTTCTGCTTTTCGACTTGGATGATTGACGAGTAAGCTTTGCTCATACTTGGTAATGGATCCATTATCAGAATTTGCTCTTTTGCAGCCTCATACCTTTCATTTAATCCAATGAGGAACTGGATTAGAAGATCCCTTTCCTGTTTATCCAGTATCTTACGGCTTGTATTACAGGTGCACTCCATTGGTGGATCGATGGTGAGTAGCTCTTCCCACAACTCCTGCAGTTTGGTGACATAGGTGGCAATGGAGTCATCCCCTTGTTTTAAGGAGCTAATAGACCTTTTGAGTTGATAAATGAGAGAGCCATTTAATTGCCCATATTTTTCTTTTAGGCTCTCCCATAAGGATTTGGCAGTTGGGATGAAAATAAAGGCTTCTTGTAGCTCAGGTATGATGGAGTTGATGATCCATGCTCTGATTAAGGCATCAACCTCAATCCAAGCTTCATACTCTATGGTTCCTTCTACAGGTCTCGATTGTTTGCCTGTGAGAAAATTACTCTTGCCTTTAGCAATGAGAGCATTCCACACCCTGTGGCTTCAACAGGAATAGTTTGTTCCATTGAGAGGAACAAAAGATAAAGATAGGTGTGGTTGATCTCCACTTCCAATCTGTAGGGCTTTGGGGAGGATAGGTGTTTGGTTAGCAATGGTTTGAGCAGCTATCCTAGCAGCTGCTTCAGCAGCAGCTTGTGTTAGATCATCTGCTACATATGTGGCTGAAAAGGTATGGCTATTGGCGTCGTCATCCATCTGAGGAGCAGCGGTAGCTCAGCTGAGCTCTGATACCATGAAGAATTACAGAGCAAAAAGGAAGAAGCACATAGAAGAACAGAACACTCAGATGAAGCAGCAAGGTAAAATTTTGTATATCACAACCATTAATTGATACGCAGATTATATATACAATTGATTCCGACAGATTCCTAACAAACTCTGTGTAAAATTGTAGTGGTAGCAGAGATTACATGAGAGAGAACAACAGAACGATGATTCCAAACAATTCTATAGGCTGGACTGTGGTTGAATTGGATGATCAAATTATTAGTCCATCAAGGTGGAGCCCAATCAGTTACATATCCATCTTCTTATTCTTTCACGCCTCCTTCTTCTTCGGCGGCGGTGGAGACCCGTCCTCCTTTTTGTTTTTCTTCTTCTCTGGCAGCAGAGCCTTATCTTTTTCTGGTGGCGTCAACGGCGGCAGCAGCAGCAGCAGCGGGGGGCCACGGAATCGCCTCCTTCATCTTCTTCTACGACGACAACAGTGGCGGTGGGGCCGGTGGTGGCTATGGCGGCAGCTCCTGGAGAATATTTTGAATTATTTTTTAAAAAAATAAATTAATAACTGACTCAAAATTTGTGAAACAAGTATCAAAAATAATTTTTTTTTTTATCAAAATTACTTCACACGCTTCTAGGTATTTTCGTTTCGGACTCTGTTTTGAAAATTTCAAGACTACTCAAATTAACTTCGAAAATTTCGAGATTATTCAAAATAGTCTCATAATTTCTGAGACTTTCTAATAGCGACGAATTTTTTGCCTCAGGTACCAATTTGAAACAAACTCTAAGGCTTAGGGATGTCAAATGGGGCGGGTTAGCCCCGGACCTGCTCTTAATGGGACGGGTTCGGGTTTAAATAATATGTTTCGGTGCGGGTTGTGGATTTAAAATTTTAAACCCGTCCAGGTTCAAGGCGAGTTACGGGTTTTACTAAAAACCCGCCCCAATCCGGACCCGGATATTTTTTAAAATTATTATAACTAAATATATATGTACATTTATATAATAAAAAGTATTATTTATTTACTCAAATAATTTTAAATACTCCCTCCGTCCCATAACAAAATATTATTTTTTCCATTTTAGTCCGTCCCATAACAAAGTATCCATTTCCTTTTTTAGTAACTGTACTATCTACCTAACATTACAAATACCCTTACAACTTACAATATATTACACAAATGTCATTACCTTTATATCACACATACTAATAAGGTTATTTTATTTCTACTATATCCCAATATAATACTCATATTTTTAAAACTACATGCAAAAAGCAAATGGATACTTAATTTCGGGACTGAGGGAGTATAAAATTCAATTAGTTGTCTGCTTCAAATTATTTTTTAAAATTATTATACCTAATATATGTATATTTATATAATAAAAATATATTATTTATTTATTTATCTTATTTTTATGGTTTAATATTTGATTGTTTTTAGATTTTTTTTGTGCTTTTAATGCTATTTGTTTTAGTATTCGATTGTTAAAAAAATATTTATTATTATATATTTTTTAAAAAAACGGGTTTTCGGGTTGGCCTCGAACCCGGAGAGTTCGGAGCTGGGCGAATCTTGGAGGCGGGTGGAAACGGGGCGGAGCGGATCTCGAAGCCTAATATTGTTTAGTGGGGCGGGTCTCGGGGTCTACAAAACTCGTCCCGAGCTCGCCCCGTTGACATTCCATTCCTACCAAATGCTAATTAAAACTAGTCTCGAACTTAGTTAAATTTATGAAGCTATTTATGATCCAAAATACAAAATTTATGATAGTGAATCATAAATATATTTTAATCATATCACTTATATAAAATATAATAAAATAATACTTATAATTATTATAATTAGCCTATTAAATTACATTATTTAAAATATTATATTCTTAACCATATCGCCATCTTATTCCGGAAAGAGTAATATACTTAATAATTGATACTTAATAATTTTTTATAAACTTTATTAAATCAAAATATATTTAATAAAAGTATAAATTATTTAATTAACTGCATAACATATAATATCATATGTTCTACTAAAAAATTCTTTATTTTTATCTATTTTCTAAAAAATAGATATTTTTGTCTATATTTAAAATTTCAAGAATTTTATTAAATTAATTTATGTTAATTATAAATAAATAAATAAATATATTTTTTATTTACTTGTATTATAAAAAATTTTATTTTTTACTAAATTAGTTATATATTTTTTATTATGATATAATTTTTAAAATATTTAATTATATATTTTAATTTTTAATTATATATTTTAAATTTATTTTAAAATTATTAATATTATTGATTAAAGAAAAAAATAATAAAATAATATTATAAAAAGAATATAAGTAATATGTTAAGGTCATTTGCGGCTTGGGGTCCAAGTAACTGCCGTATGTAGGCATGTATGTAGTATCTAGAAGCTGCCACACGATACCACCCAATTAGAATAAATATATAATTGGATTGGGTTTCTTAATATTTTAATATCCCCAAATTGCCCCCACCGCCTTATTTTATCATTTTCCCCTTGCTTTGGTACCCTAATAACCTAAAGTCAGTCTTCTAAACTAAACCCCTCTCGCACTGCTGGCTGCTACTGCTCTTCCTTTCCTTTGGTTCGTTATTTTTTTATAACTTTGCCTCGTCTCACCGTTTCCAATAGACGCCGGACGGCTCCTCATCTTAATCATCCAATCCAGTCCAGTTTGATTGCGATTACGCGTGATGGTGGAGGGCGGTGGGGCAGCGTCGTACCCTGTGATTTTCTTCGACGGCGAAAGGGAGTCGGACTTAGGAGACGTGAATATCAATCCGAGGATGGAGTACAAGGCGTTTCAGGTATTGCTAAGCCAGAAGATCGGGATCTCGCCCAATCAGATCTCAATTTATATGGTTGACCGGAAGAGGATCCCCGAGTGGCCCTTCTCCGAGGATCGCCGCCGTATTCCAATCACTGCTAAGGTTAACTTTGGGGCTATTTCTCGCCTCAAGGACTGCTACTTTCTTGTCGTCTTGAAGAGGTCAAGAAAGTCGAGAAACCACCAGCGAAGGGGGCTTGAATTTTATCTGGAGAACAACAACCACCTTTTACCCCGAAGAAATCTGCAGGGGCCACCGCCACCACCACCACTACCGTTTTACGATGAGATTGCGCCAACGGATCTGGCTGCTTTGAATTTCCGCCTGCAAAATCAATATCATGATCAGAGGGAGATGAGAATGGGATTGCTTGATTTCTCTTTGGAGGGGGAGGAGGAGGAGGCATCATCATATTCATATCTGAACATAGATTCTTCTTTGGATTGGAGAAGAAGAAGAAGTAACTACTACTGTGAAGAGTGCGCTAATGAAGAGAACAATAGGAATAGCAATAGGATGGCGCCATCATTATCATTTCACCCCTGCATTAACGATGCTGTGATAATCGGTGGTGGTTTCAGGACCACTGCCGGTCCAATTCGTCGCCCCCTGAGCAGAGCAGAGCAGAGCAGCTTTAATTAGTCCCTTTTCCAGTTCAGGGATATTGCTGCTTTTCCTTCTCCATTCCATTTTATTCCCTGTGCTGTGCTGTGAAAGAAATCAAGCCAACAGTACATTGGGTTTCTTCTCGCACTGGTATGGCTCAGTCTGTTCTAGTATAGTCACAATGTATATGAGATCTTATTTTTTCATCCTTATTTTTTGAATGCATTTTGGATAAATTTTCAATTGAACTTTAGATAAACTAAATCTGGCAAACGAACTATCTCTGTGCAAACAAGATTTGGAGGTGTGGTATTCTTTTACAGGGCTTTTATTTTTTATTTTTTAAAAATTCTTAAAAATTTGTCATGTAGAGAGAGTAGAGGGTAGTTAGACATGATACATGCACGTTCACGTATGGATAGCGAGCACTCAGAGATGCGTGTGCATGCAATAGACACACACGCTGGTTACTTAGTCGACTTTTATTGGGAAGGGCGAGCGGGCTTGGTTAGTTACCTTAATTTTCGCTAATGTGGGTATTATTATTGTTATTATTATTATTGATTTGTTTTGTAAATCAGATGAACGATGGATGTCTTGGAATTGATTTATTGTTGTCCCCTTTTCTTTTCTGAGAAATATACGAGCTGCTGCTGCGTCGCCCTTGAAGGGAAACTCGTGCAATGCACACGATCTTTTTATATATATATTTTTTTATTTTTCGATAAATTTGTTCTATTTAAATTTTTTTGATTTTTTTTTTTATTTAACTATTAATTTTTAGTTACTATCACTATCAATATACATAAAGTATTATTCTCTTTAAATATACATTCAAACAAATATAAATTATAAATAAAATAAAAAAAAATTATTATATAATTATTTAAAGCTTATAAAATTTAAGAAATTTTATATATAAATTCAAAATGAAATTTAATCATAATTCATAATTAAAGGAAAAAATTATTTAAAAAATAAAATAAAAATAAATTTTAAAAATTAAAAAAAATAATTAAAAAATAAATATTTATTATGAGATTCAAAATATACTTTTATATTTAATATTTATTCATATTTGAAATAATTGTTATTTTTTAGTTGTAATAGTTTAAAATTTAATCAAATAGATTTGTACAAATTACTCAAAAGTCATATATATATTTTTTAAATAATTTGATTGAAAATAAAGAAAGAAATATTTTATACTCCCTCCTCCGTCCTAGAAATTATATATATTTCTATTTTGGGACGTCCAATTACAAAGTAACTATTTCATTAAATACCTTATTTTTTTTCACAAATACCCCTACTTTACATAACATCATTACTTTTATATCAAAAAAGTAAGGGCAAAAATGTCATTTTACTACTTTTACCTACTCACTATAATTAAAATACTATTATTCATTAATCTCCGCGCCAAAAGTAATTGTATACTTTTAGCTTGGACGGAGGGAGTACTTTATACAAGATCATAAAATTTATAGGCAACATAACATAAAATTCTTCTGGTTTTTAAAACGTTGCAAAAAAACCCCATTTCCGTTAGGACATAACTGAAAGTGCTCACGCGCTTAGACCGAGATTTTTATACAAAATTAATATATAAGTATGTAAAATTATAAAAATACCCCTCTAGAGGCATCTCAAAATATATTAATTAAGGAAGAGAACTATTTTAGTCATTTTACCTACATTAAAAAAATCTAATTAAATAATAATAATATTAATAATTTAATTTTCAATTCATCTTCTTTCATGGAACAGATCGAAAAGTAAACCCGTCCTCTTCGTCCGCCGCCGACGATTGCCACACATCACCGGTCACCGATCTTTTTCTACTCATTCTCATTCTTTATTTTTTATTTTTTATTTTTTATTTTTTATATTTTTATAATTCAAACACATTATATATTATTGAACAAAAATTGTTGGTTCAAACGGCAAATTCTTCTTTAAAAAAATGGAATTCAAATTTAAAGACAATCGTATTAATTTCAGAATTTGACAGCCTTAAATTCTTTTCTATCACTGAGTCAGAGAATTTGTACTAATTTCACAGGAAATCCAAAAAATTTTGGACGAAATTAATAAATGAAATTGGGACAGGAGAGAGAGAGGCGGTCGAATGACAGTCGGTCTGGGGGCGTGTGGCGGAGATTGGCAACGGTGATTCGTGGCTGAAGAAGGAGTTGCGTGACGCGACTGAAATCGGTGGAGAAGGGCGGCGCTCGCAGTGGCGATGGTGGAGGAAGAAAAAGACGATGCCGGTGGGTGGTGGTTGGTGGCTGCTTGTGCGCAGAGTGGATGGGCGTGGGTTGTGGGTTGACAGAACAGAGAAAGGGGGAGAAGATGTGTCGGTGAGAGAGGGGGTAAGGACAGAGAAAGAGGGATAGTGTAGAGAGATAGAAAGAGGTGGATATGGGTTTGAAAATTTAAGCTGGAATTAAAGTTTAATTTTGGGATTTAATTTAAACTTAAAGCACACACATAACAGTCAGTTTATGTAAAATTTAACATCGTCAGTGCAGATTAAAAGGAAGGGGCGAGTGTGTGCAATATTTTAAAAACCACAAGTAGGTTTTATGGAATTTTCAGACTATGGAGATTTTCAGCAAATTCATCCAACCACATGGGATTTTTATGCTATTTTGCCAAATTTATATCCATTTTTTTATTTAAAAAAAATATTTATAAATTTGGTTAATTATAGCTTTATTAATTATGAATATTAATAAAAAATTTATTATTAAAAATAAAAAAATATTGAAAAGTTGACTCAATGATATGTTATATAGATAAATAAAATATTGTAATAAATATGTATAAAATTAGGGTGTATTCAATTGAGATTTCAATAGATTTTTTTGAATTTTAAAAAGCCTATAGATTTATATAGATTTAGAAAATTCACAGCGTCTATGTTGAGTTTGATAAATTTTAATAATCTAGTTAGATAAATTTTTACAGGTTTGACTGAATTCTTTATACATTTATATGAATTTAATAAGATTGAATAATAATTTTTATTGATATATATAATTATATAAATTTATATCAAATACAAGTTTTATAAATAAAACTTATTATATATTATTATATTTTTATAAAATAAATAAATAATATATAATTATTAATATTGTAAAAATATTGTAACATATATAATGCTAACATAGATAACACTATTATATTTTATATTAATATTTTTATTTTTATAATTTTTACTATTATATTATCAATCAATATATCAAATTATTTTTATTATTTATATAATGTTTTTCACATAAAAACTAAATATGTATATAAATAAAATATAAAAAAAAATAATTTATGATTTTTGAAAAAAATATTAAAATAAAAAAGTAAATAAATATAAATTAACGCTTCAACGAAAAAATATACTTTCTCCTTCCCATAAATATAGTCTTAATTGGGTTGGACACGAGATTTAAGAAATATTGATATTATATTGTTAGTGAGTAAAAAACATGGATAAAAGACGTTTTTACCCTTGTGAGTGTATTAGTGTAAAAAGTAGTGGCAATTGTGTAATAAAAATAAAAAAGTAGAGGTAGTTTTATGGTGATATGATTATTTATGAAAATAAGACTATTGTTTTGAGACGGACAAAAATGGTAAACAAGACTAATTGGGACGGAGGGAATATATAAATATCTATTCGATGACAATATGTTATATTCAATAAGACGCTGGAATGACAATATATTGTATTCGATTGTTGAAAAGAAAAGACGACGGTGATATATATATTTATTATAATAATAATAATTTTCTAAATATTATATTAATAATATAGAAATATATTTTTCAAAATTTTTTGATAATACTTCGCTAATATATTTTATTTTTAAATTATTATTTTTATTAAATATTATAATAATATTGATAAATATTATCATATTATTTATCACAACAACAACAACAATAATAATAATAATAATAATAATAACAATAATAATAATAATAATAATTTTAAAAATCCATCAAAATATTTACTTACCATGAGAGATTTTATACTATACAAATTTTCATAAATTTCCATCAAAATCAAATAAAATCCAGAGACTTTTAAAAGTTTCGATTGAATATCTCTAGATTTTAAAAAGACTTTTACAAGTTTGAATTGAATAAATCCAAATTTTAAAAAATATTCAAAAGTCTGGATTAATACACCGAGATTTTAAAAGTCCAACAAAATCCTACAGAATGACGATTGAATCCACACCCTATATTTAAACCCCATAGTTATATTATCATAATGTTGGACATGGGTCCAAATGCATCCCAACGTGAAAGGGGCTCAGAGATAAAAGTGGAGTCAGAGCTCCTTGGCCACGGAGCCGCGCAACAACAATAAAGCTTCAAGCCTCGGAGCCAAATAAAACTGCCTCCACAAAGCCGAAGAGAACAACTTCCATTGGATTGTAGTACTTCCACAAGGCCGAAAGCAGCAGCCTCTAAGGACTATGACGCCTCCATCTCGGAACAATACTTCCATAAGGTCAGCAATAGTTGCCTCCATTGGGTTGAAAACAACTACCTCCATTTGACTGCGGTGCTTCCACAAAGCAGAGGAAGGTTGCCTCCACAAGATAGAAAGTAACAGCTTCCACAAATCATGGAATAACTACATCCATTGGCTCTAGATTAATAATTTTGTACTGAACATTAGTGGAAGATCTATGCACTTTCATATTTCATTCAGAAAGCTCCATGGAACAAGCTAACAAAAGGAAGATTTCATGTAACTCGAGGTTGTTGGGGACACATCCCCATGGACCAACTAGGAGTACGATGCAAGCAAGTCATGGTAAGTGGCAGATCCAGTCCAGAGGTAATGGAAGAAGTTCAGAGCAAGTGGAACCCGGTCTAGAGACAATGGAAGTGGTTGGGAGCTGATGGAAGGAAGTTACCAGATGGTTCGGAGCTCATGGAATGAGGTTACCAGGTGGTTAGGAGCTGATGATATGAGGTTATCAGGCAGTTAGAGGTAGTGGAAGGAATAAGTAAAACTATCTTTTTAGTAGAATAGGTAGTTATTTGATATTAGGATAAATATAGTGAAAAGAACAAAACACACACACGAGAAGAATCACACATCTAATCCTTATTGTTTTTTTATCATTTTATTTTTCTATTTTATCCATAGATTTTAGGAGATTATCCAATTATGTTCTAATTTATGTTGTCTTATCTTAATTTCTTGCTTAATTTATTTTCCAACATGTTTTTATTAGAGTTGTCAAAATGGGCTTAGCCCGTTGGGTTGGCCTGCCCCGCCTCACTTTGAAAGAGGGTTGGGTTATAATTTTTTAGGCCCGTTAAAATGCGAGCCTAAATGGGCCAACCCGCATGGACCGCGGATTGAAAGTGGGTTAGCCCGCAGCGGGGCGGGTTGGCCCGCGGGCTAACAATATACAAATTATAATAAATTAATTATCATTATTTAATTATACTATATCATTTTCAATATAATATAATCTAATTTAATTAATATATCTTATAACAATTTTCCTAAAATATTTTGGATTAAATTAGGTAAACACTTAAATTTAGTAATTATAATATTAAAATCTTTTATTTTATGTTAATAAAAATTTAAAGTTACAAATTTGCAAATCCATTTGCTTAGCCACCGCCGCCTCTTA